TTTTTATGAAATGCTGTGTTGGTTTTACGCCAGATGTTACGGGACACAGACCTTCCAATAAGTTCCACTTTTGTCTCATCAGTCCACAGAATATTTGCCCAAAAGTCTTGGGGATAATCAAGATCTTTTTTGGCAAATGAGAGACGAGCCTTTGTGTTATTTTTGGTCAGCAGTGGCTTTTGCCTTGGAACTCTCCCATGGATGCAGTTTTTGCCCAGTCTCTTTCTTATTGTTGAATCATGAACACTGACCTTAATTGAGGCAAGTGAGGCCTGCAGTTCTTTAGATGTTGTTTTCAGTGTCGTGCGTTTTTTTTTTAATTATGATGCAAAGTTCCCACAATTGTATTATTATTATTATACATTTTTATGTATCAGCTGCCAGAGATCGTGCCAGGAGTCACAATCGTTCGTCGCCGTTTCTGCTGTAAACTACACTGTTTTGTTTTTAAATAAAAGATTTGATGATGCATATATACCAGCAAGCAGATGTGATCAGAATGTGAACCCAATAAGCTAAATTGCATAAGCATTTTCCCATAAAGAACACACATAAGAGTGTCCAGCTGCCACTAGCCAATACTGTACGCACACACACAAACATTTATTTATTTATTTAATTTAACACTATAGTTATTAACTAGTTGCTTGCATATTACTATATTAGCTGTTTATTAGTACTCATAAAGCACATACTAATGCCTTATTATGCGTGACCATATTCTACATCTTACCCTATACCTGAACAGTAATTAATAGTTTATTTAGGCAAAAGTCAATAGTTAGTTAATAGTGAGAATTGGACCCAAAACTAAAGTGTGACCATATGTATTTGTGTTTGTGTGTGTGTGTGTGTGTATATATATATATAAACATGGGTACTTGATCAAATGCATTCTCTGTGTTAAATTATGTTTTTAGTTGTGTTAGACGACTTCCTCTTTCCAAATCTTACTGCACGTTTTCATTGAGTTCCTTCTCTTTGTTTATTCTACTTGTTAAATGAACATGCTGACATAAAAGCTGTTAAAGTAAGCTAAGTATTCATTTGTTATAGTAAAGTGGTAGTGGAGTGGACTAACGAAAGAAAAGCTGTGCTGCATTGGCCGGGAATCGAACTCGGGCCTCCCGGGTAATGTGGGGCTGAGGCACACATGGCGTCTAAAACCAATGCGATGAAGCAGGAGCATCAGCTGAGAGAGTACAGAAACTGTAGACGTGTACATGAGAGAGAAACAGGAAGAACTGGGGAAATGAAATGAAGAGTGTTGAGAGTATGGTGATTGCAGCCCCACATGACCACGGCAACTCCCATGGCTTTTTCATGTAAGCATTGGTGGTTCAGTGGTAGAATTCTCGCCTGCCACGCGGGAGGCCCGGGTTCGATTCCCGGCCAATGCAACACATCTTTTCTTTTGTCAGTCCAGAAAAAAAGTGACTACTTTATCGGAACAGTTGGCTCAGCCTGCCTATTTAATTAAATTATTTAATTAAATTAATAAATTAAAGTAGAATGACGAAAGTAAAGGAACAATGGCAGAAACAGCCGGAAAGAGGAAAATAAAAACATAATTTAACAGTTAATGCATTTGATCAAGTACCCATGGTTTTCATCCTAAAAACAGAACTTAAAAAAAATAAAGTCTATTATTGTGACAATTTATTCAAAAATACACGTCAAATCAGAGGGTTCACTTTTTTTCTGTGGACAAAAAAAATTAAATGTTGTGTAAATCAAGTCTGGGTGTGTGAAAATATTAAATCAAAGTCAAATCAGAGTTGTTTCTTGTCAAATGTACAAGTAGGCCTACCATGAATGAAGTACAATGAAAATCTTACTTGAATGCTTCTCCACAGACTATAGACAAGACAGGCATTATTGCTGCATTATGTACAAAAATATGCACAAGAATAAACTGGACTCATTTACACCTAGAAAGCCACTGTCATCCCTCTAGGCTCCATTTTGTTTAGATAACAAACTAAAACGGGCTTTAATTTTGGTTGAGACGCATGCTGTCACGCACTACTGTGATGTATGTTTAATTTGAGAAATAGGGTGAAGTTATTCCGTACACAGCTGTCAATCACATGCTTCCTGATGAATTCTCCACCGCAGGGTGTTCGTTTTCACCACCAGAGCCTGTAATAATGTCTGTGGATTCATAAGAATGTTTATACTGCTATTGGTTTCAAAGATACACTCACTGAGTCTGAAGGAAATAAGCAGGGACTTTCTCTCAGTCCACAGTGTAAACTGGTTTCACTGGGCTGTTTTTAAATGAGTATAATAGAGCAGTGGATATACCTGTGCAACAATTTAGTGGTCACCAAGACCTCGCACTTGTTCATTATGCATATGAAGAGTTCAGATGAAAAAGCCTCTAAGTGCCAACTGAAATGTTCTTCTAAAATTAGCATTTTTATCAGACTCCTGTTTAGGTTCAGTAATTGTATTTTAATGGCAATGTATAGGTCCTTTTCTATGCCATTAAAGTGAAATAAATGAACATAACTATAGGAGCCTGATAAAAACGCTAATTTTAGATGAATATTTCACATGGCACTCTTCACATATACATACACTTTCTCTCTCATGTGCAGTGCACATTATGTTTTAAATTGGCTGCCTTCATTGTGGCAAAAGGTCCCTGGCAAATGGACAAATTAAAATAATTGTTTTGTCCAAAATACACACGACTTTATTTCTTTAAACTGTCATCTGGCAGATGTCTTTATTTGTCGAATGCACTTTGATGAAAAGAATGCAGTGGCAGGCTAGTGAATATGCATTTACAGAGGATTATAGTTTGTGCGTGCTTGTGTGTGTGTACATGCACACGAGTTCAGTCAGCAGAATATGAGATGGCTTTTGCTTACTGTTTCATGAATCATACAGCACTTTCATGAATCAGCAGTCTGCACTTTTATCTGAACCAAATAAATGTGCAGATATCCTTAAATTCCTCTTTTCCATTCTGATGGAAATGCTTTTTTTTTTTTTTTTTTAAAGAAGTCTCTTATGCCCACCAAGGCTGCATTTATTTGATCCTAAATACATAGAAAAACAGTAATATTGTGAAAGTTTATTGCAATTTAAAATAACGGTTTTCTTTTATTAATATAATTTTAAAAAAACATTTGTTTTCAAGTGACACAAAGCTGAATTTTCATCAGCCATTATTCCAGTCTTCAGTGACATGATCCTTCAGAAATCATTATAATATGCAGATTTATTATTATTATGTTGTGCTGCTTAATATTTTTTGGAACCTGTGATCCCTTTTTTTCAGTTTTTTGTTTTGGACAAAATATTTCTATTTTGAATAAATGCTGTTTTCTTTACTTTTTTATTCATCAAATAATTCTTGAAAAAAGTATAAATCAATCAATAAGCTGCACAACTGTTTTCAACACTGATAATCAATCAGCATATTAGAATGATTTCTGAAGGATCATATCACACTGAAGACTGGGGTAATGATGCTAAAAATTCAGCTTTGCGTCACAGAAATAAATTAAAATAGAAAACCATTATTTTAAGCTTTGCATCACAGAAATCAATTTAATTTGAAAGCATATTAAAATAGAAAACCAGTATTTTAAATGTCACAATATTATTGTTTATACTGTATTTTTAATCAAATAAATGTACCCTTGATGAGCATAAGAGACTTCTTTAAAAAACATTAAGAATCTTACTGATCCCAAACTTTTAAACGGAATTGCTAAATAAAATAATTGTTAAAATAACTGTTTTATATTTGAATATATGTTTAAATGTAATTTATTCCTGTGATGCAAAACTGAATTTTCAGTAGCAATTTCTCCACATGACGCATCACATGATCCATCTAAAATTACTTATCAACAGTTGTGCTGCTTAATATTGTTGTGAAACATTTTGTCTGATATATAAAAGGTTCAAAACAACAGCATTTATTTGAAATAGAAATATTTTGTAACATTGTAAATGTATTTACTGTAATTTTTGTTCAATTTAATGCGTCTTTGATTAATAAAAGTAGAAATTACTTAAATCTTACTGAGCCCAGACATTTGAACGGTAATATTTGCAATAAAAAAAATACATAAAATAACTATTATTGTAATGTAATATATTACATTACACATATACAGTATATCACAGTTGTAATCGGAGTTTAGGAGATTGGCCTATTTGACCTGAGATCAACTCATAACCTGTCTAAACTTTGTAAACACCACAGAGTAATAGTAAAGAGACTAGTTTTTCATAGTTGTATGCTCAAGTTTGAGTCATGTTTTTGTTAGTTAAAGAGATGCAGCAGTGTCACTAGATTTGAGTCTGTTCTGCATGGAGTCCTTTCTAGATGCAGTGTATTGATTGGCTGTGTACACAGGAGAATATGTGCTACTGCGAAGCTGGTAAATTGGTCTCCAACTTTAGCTTAGCCTGAGGTGATGTAATACCACAAATGCTTGCACAAGAACTCAATTCTTAATTTATCCGCTCTATCCTTTGCAGGATGATATCTACATGTTTGGTGGGAAGCTGGAGTCCGGCTCCGGGAACGTAACAGATGAACTGTGGCTGTTTGATACACGTAGCCGGTCTTGGTCCCTCAGAACACCCAGCCCTGGGCTGCAGGTCCAACCCTTCGCCGTGGAGGGACATACCGCTCACATAGTGGACACTAGGAATGGAGAACCCATCATGGTGGTGCTTTTTGGCTATTCACCCATTTACAGCTACCTCAGCCACATCCAGGAGTACAACATTCGTAAGTACTGATATGTGCCTGTGCCTTAAAATATTATGAAAAATATTCTTCACATGAGCCGAGAGTGTAGAGACTGCATTGATGTCAGTCTGACAAACACAGACAGTTCCTCTGGCTTCCAGCAGATGGCAGTGTATTATAACATTTAATTAGCGTAGGGTTTTAGTGATGACATGGTGAGTTGACATGGCCAGACTCATTAAAGGGAAGGTTTTCCACTTTCTTTTCTTTCGGTTGTATTTTCTACTCGACTCGCTCCACTCTCTGTCACAAACACACACCCACTGAAACGCACACTCGTGCTTTAGGTCATTAAGAAGTGGTGGTACCTGAAGTGCACTGTCTGGGATTGAACAATGATTCATTTGTCTGAGCTCTGTTGAGGCTCCACTTAAATCTCTCTTTCTCATGCTCTCGCTTTCCCCCTCTTGCTCTTTCTCCATTCGTACTCGCTAAATGAGTACATGAGCTTATTAAAGCTGGTGAAAATGATGGCAAACGCACCTCACTACACATCTGTTAAAATTTATGACATAAAGAACTTGGCGAAATTAGAGTGAAGCAATATTTGAAGAGAGGCTTTCTTAAACTTTAGATATCTGTAAAAATTCAAGTGATGTAACAAGTCAGGAAAGCAATGAAAGGCAGAGACCACTTGACCCTGGGATCCTATGTCTCTGTAACACTTAGTCATGTGTAATTCATCACAGATGTTCTACCAGAGAGCAGCAACTAAGTCTTGAAATCAGTCATGCTGAATGTCAGCATGTTAGAAGTTGTTACACCACAATGTTATCTTCTGTTTAAAAACTAGTTTTAATGTATTTATTTATTTGTATTTTCTCAATTTGAAGAAAAAAGGTTGAAAAACAATGTTGCATTGGCCGGGAATCGAACCCGGGCCTCCCGCGTGGCAGGCGAGAATTCTACCACTGAACCACCAATGCTTACATGACATATGTGTTTAGTGGCACGTGGTCACCCATCCTGCCCCTCACTAGAGTTTAGACATAGATTCTTAGATTATACATAGATTTGCTAGACAGAGATTTTAGTTTCCTTCCATGTAAGATCAATGAATGGAACATTAAAATTGTGTTTCAAGCATATGTGCTCAAATATTTTAGCACTTAAATACAACAACATTAATAATAATAATAATAACAATAATGTATAATAAGGGTCCACTGAAGGCGAGCATTGTGAGAACCCAAGTGCAGTTTTATTATATTCCAAAAGTTAGTAGATAAACAGTAAAGGCGTGGTTTGGCCTGGCCTGGCATTGTCTCACCAACAGTCCGTGTTGCCAGATTGGATTGAAGATCTCCAGCCCAACTACAGTGTAAAACCCGCCCATTAAAAAAAATACCAGCCTAAATGTGTAGTAAAAAATAAATAAATTATATATATATAATTTTATAAAAATTTTTTTGCAGATTTATTAAAAAAGAAAAACTGAAATATCACATGGTCCTAAGTATTCAGACCCTTTGCTGTGACACTCATATATTTAACTCAGGTGCTGTCCATTTCTTCTGATCATCCTTGAGATGGTTCTACACCTTCATTTGAGTCCAGCTGTGTTTGATTATACTGATTGGACTTGATTAGGAAAGCCACACACCTGTCTATATAAGACCTTACAGCACACAGTGCATGTCAGAGCAAATGAGAATCATGAGGTCAAAAGAACTGCCTGAAGAGCTCAGAGACAGAAATGTGGCAAGGCACAGATC